ATATTTTATATATAAAAAAAGCAAAAAACCAAACACCTGTCCTGATTTTTTTATTTATTTGTTAAAACATGAAAAAAAATGTTTTAGACAAAGAGGCCACTTCTGGAAAATAATACTTTTAGTTGAATCAGGAGAAGACTAGTTAAAATCACATAGGTTTTGCGTTTTAAAAAAAGGAAAGCACTAGGATCAGTTATTGGCACTGAGTTTCTATTTACAATGAACAGAGGTTTTGCAGTTTACATAACATCAATACAATGCAGTTTCGGAGTCTTTGATTCAGAAAAAACAAGTGTTTTTCTCCTTTTCATCCAGGACATTCAGATTATTAGGACAAGTGGTCATAGGGAAGGGCTGCGGAAGAAGTTCCCAGCTTCAGCCCCTCCCGTGCACGGCGGTGCTGGAAGAAGATGCTGCGCTCTGGAGAAGCCGATCACGGAGTTGGAAGCTGAAGGGCAGGTGGGGCAGGGCTGAGAAACACCTGGTAATTCATGACAGTGTCTGGAGACCAGGGATTTACAGGTTGTCGCCGGGCTGGTACTGGGGTTCTGTTGCAGTGAAGTAGTCTTCAAGGAAACCCTGCAAATATTCGAAAGTTGGACGCTCCTCTGGGTCTTTTTTCCAGCAGTGGATCATAAGCTCGTGCAAGGAGATGGGACAGTCCTGAGGACATGGCATCCGATAACCGCGTTCTACTTGCTCCAAGACTTCACGGTTATTCATGCCTGTAAAGGGCAGACAAATCCACATTGTTAAAGTACAGCAAAATTAACCTGAATATAACTATATCTACAATACATATGGTTTTCTTGATCATACTAATTTATTTTGGTTCAGACAAGCGAAACAAAACCACCCCGATGTCCGGTTTCAGCTCTTCATCTACTGCAAGGTAACTTGGATTATTTTCTTTCTCAGGAGAGGGTTTTAGGATCCAGTGATGAGTAAAACGCTGCTCCCATGGCTACCCTCTTGGCTTACTGACAACAAGCAGGATTTGGCACTTTCCAACAACAGCAGCCGTGAAATATATTATCTAAAGTGGTTAAGGAAAATAAATGCATTGCAACAAATACTATTCAAAATTCTAGAAATTAAAATGAATTTTTGAAATTCTCACACCGAGCGTGGGCCCTTCTTGAAGTGCTCTGTGAGATCACGCTGGAGAGGCTTCAAGACAAAACTCTGCTGCTTCAGGCTACCGGGGGATGTCCAGCAGTGTTACCTTCAACGTCAGTTCAGAAGCTTAGTGCTGCTGCTGATCTGCACTCCCTTGATCTGTGCTGGTTAGCATTGTTTCTACCATATTTCACTGTTCCATCCCAACCCAGAAGAGAGTAACGTTGCTCAGAAGACAAGTCAAACGCCAAGCAAAACAGCTCCACTGCAGAACCACAGCTCTCTCTCAAAAAAGGTAAACAATTATATTGCCAGCTTTTTAACAGTACTGAAGGTAAGACTGGCACCGCAGGCATGCAGAAGTATTTCAGAGAAAGCATGCACGCTGACTGCAAGCTTTGTGCTTGCCACTTGGCAAGCCCTGCCCCAGTCCTCTGCTGAAAAGTATCTCCAGGCTTCACTCCCCTGACTCAGTGGGTCCTGCCAAGCTGCTCTGCAGGAGAACTCATAGGGACACTTAAGGTCCTCCATGACCACATCCAGAAACCAACACCTTGATGTTGCTCTTTCTGTTAGCATATCCTCCCCCTGGCTTCCATGACACCATCCTTCCCTGGGTCTCCTCCACTCTGTTCTTTCAGGGTGTCCTCCTGAAGAATTTTCTTGTCCCACCTTCAGGACCCAGGGGATCGTCTCTACCTCGTATTTTTGGTAGACTTATTCGTGAGAAATAATTCAACCACCTTCTTCAACACAGATTCATTTGTCTACTCTACACCTTGGCTAGTAGGAATAATATCCTTACACTGCATAGTATTTAGGCTGGTAACTTAGCTGTATCCTTGGATTTGGTCTTTGCATCCTCACATCCTGGCTGTGTTTAATTCTTAAAGATGTTTTGAAAGAAGCATCTGCAAAATACAGCCTTTCCTGACCATTCACATCTAGATTCTCATCTCACGTTAGGATTACAAAACACCTTTTCCTCTTATCTTGACAGGGTAATTTCCTCCTGCTGATATCCCTTTGTGGTGTCTCCGCAAGAAGCATTTTCCTAGCCTGTTACTGTAACTACCGCTTGCATGGTTTTGCCACTTGCTCCTTGTTGCTTACTATGTAAAATACCGGCTGCTTGTCTTCACTCTCAAAGCTTCTCGCAGGCTGTCCATGAGCATTTAAGCTCTCATTTGGCCGTGTCCTGGTCGATTCACAGTTCTGGTTAGCTTACTGCAGCACCTTCGATCTTCAAACAAGCACTCATGTGCTGTTTCTTATGCTGCCTGTTGCGCACAGAAGAACCTCCCCAGAAAACTGCCTCATGCTCCTACAAACCACTCCTTACCGTTCCCTTTAGCAGCAGTAATTGCAAAAAGAAAGGTAAGGTCACTGATTGACAGTATTTCGTAACCTGCAGACCAACACTTTACCACTGGTTTCTTGTGTCTGATTTATCACCTGCATCCACCCACTGTATTTTTGGTGTTAGATGTTTATGAGAAGGAGCAAACACTTTGTATGCCATCTAAAGTGGTCTGTGGTTAGGACTCTACAGAATGATGAAAACAGAGTAATAAAAGTCCTCTGCAGACATCATATTCTGCATAGAGTTAAGGTTCTCCTGTATTACTGACTCCAAATTGGTGGTGTTAGGCCACGCAGGCTCACAACAAACCAGAAAAGCTTGCCACACACTGAACAAATGCCTAGGTGTTCCTCATTATCCAACAAGAACATTTTCAAACTTATTTTACTTTTTTATTAAATAACAAAACAATGCTAGTGGTGTGTTAGTTATCACCAACCCAAAGGCAGCACCAACCCAAACCTCCTGGCCTTGCTGTTTTCAAGATGCTACAAGAAAAAAAATGGGCATTTTGCTCATGTTGTGTTCTCAATATTAGTTTTTGTAATTTGTGTTTTGAACAAAAATCTGCACCCTTTTTTCATATCCTTGTCTTTGAATCAGCTGAATTACCTCATGTTTTGGGCTAAGAACTTCTCTTACATATTAAGGGCTATGAAAATAAGTGTTACCGGTAATTCATCTATCGTATATACCTACACCACGAACAAATTGCATTCTTTGTTCTTATTTTGGCAGTACCCCTTTAAGTACAACATGGGTGGAAGCAACAGCAGCAGCAAAGCTCCTCCCCAACTGATTTGTTATTTTAAGATATCAAATGTTTGGTATTTTTATCCAGTGCATTACTCAGTGCTGCAAAGCAGACTCTGAAACTTGATAATGAACTGTATGCTGGAAGAAAAACCCTGAGGAGAGAGGGGGGGGAGGAAAAACATAAACAGCTCTTCACTTCGCTTTAAAAAAAAAAAAAGATAGCAAAAAGAACATAAAAGAGACATTGGTGTCTAATATCATAGTCAATTTTTGTCCCTGGAAAGTCAGTCAAGCCAGGTTTTCTCATCATGGTATAATCCATGGAAATGCCCTTCTTTTCCTTTCTCCTCCCTCCCAATAAAACCCAGATATGAAACTAAACCAAGTAATCCTCACATTCCTTACTGGAATTCATACATCCAGCAAAGGCTGCAGCACCAAGGATTTGCCAAAGAAATTCTGTCGTGTGCTGCTAATTTAAACAAAAGACTTTCACATTTTTTTTCCACAAATTGATTGGATTATTAGTCAGACTTATAAAAATAGCAGTGTTTCAGGTATACTTTTTACCTCTTAAAAGGCCTGTTTATGTTTACAAACCTATTATCTAGATTCGCTTATCTTATCTTACAAGTTTTAGTGTTTCTCTTTTGATAGCAGGAGCCTGGTGTGTCTACACTTCTAACACCACAGAGAGAATATTTGAGCAGTCTGTACAACTCCTCTCTCCTAATGAATACCCGAGAGTTTCAACTCTTAGTAAATAATAAATGAAATTCTGCTTGCAGTACGCTTCTAGACCCCTTAAAAGTTTATCCTAAAATCCTTAAATCTGTGGAATAAAATACTCAGCAATATTCTTCTGTAGACTACACCTATTTCACCTGCTTGAAAAATGAGTTTGTGCTCATGATGTTTCTAGAATTACCATTTGAACCAAGAAGGAAACATCCAATTTCCCAGAGATGGCTTTTCCATTAGCTTTTTATTGCTTGAGAAGACCAAAAATGAAATAACTTCCCACTATCCGGCTCTATTAGTGCAACCTCCAATAATCTTAAGGTGCACAGGATATGGCTACTTTAATGCTCAATACAATAAAAATCTACTGCCCATATGGACTGGGGACAGAAACACAGTGCTGCTTCACTTTTCCAAGAAAAGCTGCAGTAGTAAGAGTTACTGTGACATAAAAGAGGACGTGAACTCTCCAACTGTGGCTAAAGAAAACACTAGAAAGTGCTTGGGAGTGCTCTGAGGAGCATGGTTAGATGGAACACAGCAGATGTGCAAATAGCACAGATCTGGGCAACGCTGCTCTTCCAGAAGATAGGAAGCTTTACTGTAACTAGGCAGCATCCCAACATCCAAAGCTAATCAGCTCTGTAGATTACTTTGGGCAATGTGAAGTCCAGTGAGGACAGTGATGGTTTTAAGCCACTTTATTCTTGCTTTCTTCTGTTGGATTGAGAATTAAGCTCCTTCAATACCCACTGCATGCTTTCAGACCAATGATCAAACTAATACAGACACAAATGCTTAACGTAGCACTCTTAAAACATCAGCTCAGCTGCTGTCCATCTCCAGAAATGCTTTATTTCAAATTCTCTGAGAACCCAGAGCTGTGCCTCTGCTCATGTTCAAAGGTTCCTCAGATGTGGACATGTTAGCCCTTCTCTAGTACAGCTGAGAAGGTAAACTGTGTAGTCCTCTAGAGGGGCTGGATCACGTTGGCACTCAGAGCATGCTCTCAAAAAAAGAGAAGTACAATGGAGACAGCTTGATTTGGGGGTTTTGTTCAGAGGCAGAAATTCTAGCTTCCATGGACAGCCCCAAAGAAAAGCCAGAGGTGAGGGCACAGGGATGGGATATGGGACTTGGGCAGGGCGATTATTCCATACACAGGCATGATAGTGCATTGAAGGGAATGGGAAAGCTGCTGCTAAAGGAAGATAACCTTGGAAGCATAATGCTGTTCTTACTGACTACCATACGAGCTAGTCGTTTCTGTGCAAAAGTAGTAACGTAAAAAATCTGGAAGTCATGTGACTTCATTTAGAAATTAAGGCCTGAAAACCCCCAACAAATCCTCATCCTCAAAACACCCACTAAGCTAGGCTATCAATATCTGTTGGCTTGCTTTGTTTGTTTGGTTTGGTTTTGTTTTTTAAATAAGTTATTATTTGCTTGGTATAAGAGATGCAACTTTGGGCTGTAGTGTTTGCGAGTGGAGCTTTCTGTCTTACAAAGAAACCCACCTGAGCTCATCTGGGCTATGTGCTGAGTACGCATCTCTCTCAACTCCTTATCTACCATCCATGATGGCGGTACATACACGTGTGCTAGCTCACTGATGTGTATTCGGCCCCAGCCCTGGGCAGCGTACCACGCGGTCTCTGGCGCTGGTGGCCCAGCTTCCCCCAGGGATGAGGAGGCTGAACACAGCTCCCCAGGGACTGCAGAGCTGCTTGGAGCCCACACTCAAAGACCTGCCTGGCCAGAGGCAGCAATGTGACGGCTGTCACACTAGACATAAAATGTAAATGCTCTTGATGTGACAAGTGCAGTAGAAAGCAGAAGGGGCAAGTTCAGAGGTGCTTGTTTAGTGCAGCTGAGATTTTTGCCGATCCAAAAGGCAACATGTTAAAACCCCCCAAATTCTATGACTACTGCTAGAGAAATGCAGCCTCCTACTCTTAAACTCCATTTAAAAACCTCAAAACTAAGATGCAAGGGAAATTTGTGAAAGAGGAAAGAAATAGACACTGAAAAAGGTTGACTAAGCAGACTATTTTTTAAACTTTCCCCACTGTAATAGTAGGAAGTAGAACCTAAATGCCCAGAAAGAGTGAAAGTTGCTTATTTCCATTTGCTGCCTTGTGAAAAGAATGGAAAAGCATTAGGGAAGGTTAGGAAAAGCACTAATAAATTAGTTATCATAGGTGCCCATTACATCCATTGACAGAGAAACAGGTTTGGTTGAAGTATGAAGATGAGGACACCTGTCAAAAAGTCAGTCTTGCTTGTGGGAGCTACAGGGTCTGGGGCAAGGCTTGATGATGAACTCTAGCCTCATCTTCATCTCTGCCAGCAAAATCTTTACTGCTCACATTCTGCCACTGCTCCAGCCTCTCTTCCAAAATGGGGCATCAGGACAGGAACTGGTTGAAATCTGGGGGGGACAAAGAATGCCAAGTCCTGTTTCCCACAGTCTGTTCCCCTATATACTGCCTGCCTTCTCCTTCTGTCCTCCTTATTGTGCTTCTCCCTTCTTCTACACAAGCTTAAAACAATGCCTGGTTCTCCAAGGCATGAGGTACGGTGCCCTGCAGGCACGGTTACCACCACAGGACTGGGACATGTGCTATAAATAACCTCTCCAGGTGCTAAGATCTTGTCAAGTAAGAGAGCAATCCCTTTGTTTGACGGCCTCTCCCCACTCCCCCGGCCTGCTACAAGCCATAAGCAGGAACATCAGGACAACATGCCCACAACTATTTCAGAAACTGGGTATTACAGCAGAATGACAGCTCCGTGACACTCTTTGTTTCAAGGCTGACCCTCTCCAGAGCTTGCAAATCCACATGCCTTGGGTGCCAAAGTGGTTGGCAGTGCCTACAAACTGCATTCTCTCACCTATAGGTTGCCTCCTTGGGTGAGGAGGGCTGAGTCTTGCCTCTCAGGGTGGTCGAAGTCCCATCTTTTCCTCCTCGTGCAAGCCATGCCGTGATGACAGGAAAAGCTCTGTGGGTGCATCTGAGCCCTACTCTCTGCCCCAGACAGGGACCTCAAGTCATGAAGCTTTATCCTTCCAGGAGTTCCTTCCTCTCCCCAGCATGAAGCAGGAGATGGATGAACCTTTCTATGTCAGGGGAAAACAGAGTCTTTTCTGATGAGCTCAGGAGGTCTTTGTCACCTTGGGAAGCCCAAGCAAAGACAAAGACCCACATGCAAAGACAGATCCTTCGGAGAAGGCCCCAGTTCCCCTCTGCTGTTGCCTCAGCCCATAAAAGCTTTCCCAGTTAGGGTCTGGGGAATGAGACCTAACTGAAATCTCTAAAGACTTTGGAAATTCAAGTTTAAAATAGAGGCTGCCCTTAGGTAAAACTGACAGAGAGGGGAGTGATGGTGACCATGAGAATGGTTAGGGCCTCCTGGCTGAGCAGGGTGGGAGTCCTGGTGGGGAGGAAGGGCCCTGGCATAGAGCTCGGGCAGTGTGTAACCGAGGCACTACATGGCCATCCAGAAAAACTGCTGACTCTGTGATATCTAACACACAAAAAGTTGCTTCCAGCTACTTGATGTCTTCCTAATGCGAGTAGGGGAGAGCGAGCCAGTGTCTGAGGGCTTTACGTAGTGAGGGATGAAGGGGGAGGACGGTGCTGAAAGAGGAGAGACGCTGATAGTTGTCTTTGATGTGCTCAAACTGCCACATAATAAAACTGTCCACATTTTCAGGACACAGACCATGCCTGAGATTTCTGTCATGGGTCCTACAAGAAGTTATATATTGCAGGCACTTAAACGCACATCCAGTGGCTTCTTTCTCCTTCAGGGAGGGAAAGGAACACTTGGGAAGTGCAGACATCCTCTGCTACTGTGGTCAACACTGTGTTCAGTTACAAACTTGTGAGTTAACACGGGGCTTACACGGTCACTTTTGCCTGGAGTAGCACTTTTCATGTGTGTGTGTCTGTCCTCATGCATGTGATAGGAGAGAAGGCTAGTCACTAAGCACCTCTGCCCCACCAATGTGGAGCTCAGGGGAAAAAATTCACCTTAACTCTGCCCTGGCTGGCGAGAGCCCCTGTGCACCCATTCTGCTGGCAGTGACTAGGAATTTCCTCTTCCTGCAGCACAGCAAGCAGCATTGCCCACCCTCCGGGAGCAACGCCCTATCAGCTAAGTCTTACACATCTCCCTTTTGTCTTCGACCTTTGCACACCGTGCCATGTCTGCATTTAACCCTCAATAAACCCACGGAAATCACGGCTCTCCCATGTCACTGCCAGTAATCCTCATGGCAAGAAGACCTTTGTGCCGGCTACTGACACAGCCAATCCGTGTGGTGGCAACACCCGATTTTCTTTTACAGCATGGGGAAGTGCTGGGCAGAGGGACTCATCCATCCCACGGAAACACGTCATCTCGCTTTCTGCTACTTCATTCTGTTGCCACAGTCACAGCTTTGCTAAGCCGCTCCCTGTTAATCATGCCAAAATTCACTGCTTATCATAAGAAACCTTCCAGCCCCCATATTCTCTTCCCCAAATATCAGCTACTGGCTGCTAGGTGCTTGCAAAGTTGAAATTCCTGGTAAAATTCTGGGAGTTTAGTTTTGCTGAGTCCAGCCTTCTGAAATGCCTTGAGATACCACAGGATAAACCTTGATGCTGCTCCTTGCACAATTTGATGCATGGATCTGTCTGCTTGATCATGGTACAGATTGGAAAATTGAAATTGCTTTAGGGCACTTTCCATTAAATCAGCTGCAGTGCACACAGCCATACTGGTATTTAGAGATTTTTTTTTTTTTAAAAATAAAAAGAATAAAGATGCAGCTAGATGTCCTGTTGTTAGTATCTGTGCTGATAAGAAAATGAAGGGATTAAATTCTTTTCCCTGTAACACACTGCTTTCACCTCATCCCTTTCCTCCTCACCTGAATGCCTACAATCTTCAGGGGGGCAGCAGAATGAAAAGCTCTTTCTGCATAGGCAGATTCAATCACCCCTCCTACAAATCTTAATCCATCGGATACTTGGCAGGGTTTCAACAAAGAGCCATGGGGCCTCCGGTTCCCCCATGCAGAGAATCTGGCCCCGCTGTGACCCTGTCATGAGCTCCGGCCTACACATTACAGAATTATTTTCTTTCCTTTCCATCCATCTCAAAAGCAAGGATTGAAATTTAAGAGTTTATAAAAAAAAAGAGATTTGGTAATACCAGACATGCAGACAGTCGTGAAACTTTGCAGAGAACCAGACTGACAGAATAAACGGAGTAATGCCACTCTGGGAGTTTAACTGTTGCTATCTTAAAGTGAATGCAATACTGTGGAGAGCTATTTACTCCACATATAAAATTACATAGTAATTTTACATTGCTTTCATGATTTGGTTAGAAAGTATATTAATTGAATTGAGAACAATTAAAAAAATTAGAAACTAGTATGTTGGATTTTCTGTTCTCCTGTCATTTTTATCATGACCATCACACAGCAGCTTTCAGAGTCAGGACCATTTTCAAGCACACACAGAACTTACGCATGATAACCATCCTCCTTTGAGCCCAGTGAAAGTAAATAAACATTCCAGTTTAAGCGTATGGCTCGTTCCCACTCCTTTCCCCAGGAGAAGCAGGGCTCAGACTGTTTTCTTACCTGGGTATGGCACTCTCCCTTTTGTTACCAGCTCTGTCAGTAGGATCCCAAAAGACCACACATCCGACTTTATTGTGAACCTCCCATACAATGCTGCTTCTGGCGCGGTCCATTTAATGGGAAACTTTGCACCTAACGAAAGAATAAATGAGTCCTATTCAGAACAGAGACAGAATCAAAGTACCGATTCGCAGGTGACTGTTGTGTTCTGCAACGCAGGCAGGTGGGCAGAGCTGCAGGCAAGTGTTAGCAAACAGCTCCATGGAGTACGGTCAGAGGACAGGCGGGTGGGATGTGTAGGGCAGAAGGAAAGACTTAGCAGGGACGGGATGGGCGTGTCACAAATCCCAAGAGAAGGCTAAGACATTTTAATTCAGGTTTGAAGTTTTATAAAAGAAAATAAAAAAGTTAAAAAAACCCCAATAAACCCAATATAATAGAAATTCTTTCTCCCAAAATGTTTTAAATTAACATTTCCCTGCGATATTTGCAAGTCAAACACAGTTAGCATGTATGAATAGAAGTAAGATTTATTGGAAATGTACCTCCCAGTTTGCTCAAGCTGAGCAAAATGCGAAACAAACATGGTAAAAAAATAAATTAATATCAAACCTAACATTTCATTAGAAACATGCAAGGACTTAAAAATAATACTGCCATTTGAGTTGCTTGGAGTGCAATGATGTCAAGGCACAACTTTGGCCTGTGATTTATAACTTGACAGTGTCCTTTAAGCTCCTGGCACTGAAAAGCCTGTAGTGCCTTAAATACGTGCAGTTCTAATGTGCTCATCCATCATCAGAGCTTGCAGGAGCCAGTTGTGGTAAGGATAGTAAGATAACAAGCCTTTAAACACTGATTTATTTGCTTTTCCAATCATTTACTGTTTTCTTAGGGAAAATATTTTCAGTATGACTTTAAAGAAAAGTCTTGTGGTAATAATTAACTCATAGTATGTACGAAAAAATATGCAGACATTTCCCTGGTGCCCTGTATTAACGTACAGGCAAAAGAGTTGCATTGCTTATTGCTGATCCCTAGTGACAAACACTCTTGAATTTGGAAACAGACTGACTTTGACTTCTCACCACCCTCTCATAAAAGTTCCCTTAGCTTTCAGAAGGAGTGTGGAAAGTGTAACAACATGGACAAATCACTCTCGGGGAGTGAAGTTATGGTGCTGTTTGCAGTTCCCTGCCGGCACTGTTCTGCCATCACATCCAGTGCTCGATGGCCCGCATCTTCTGCTACACGCCGCAACCTGACTTGACTCAAGAGTACAAAGTAAACACGGTAATTCTTATCTCCTTACTTAGTAAAACATCAGGTGTGCTAAAATTTTACTTAGAAACAAATACGTTTTTCTAGGGAAAACTGCAGTTGCTCAAGTAAGTCCTCCTCAATTAAAAGACACAAGACAAAGTTTCAAATCCCTAATGCCTGAAGTCAAGAACTTCAGTTAAGCATCAACACATCAGTGGTTAGAATTGCAAAGGTGTCAGAGGATTTTTGGATGTCTATTCACTTTCAAAACAGGCTGCCTCTTCTGTAGTTTCATTAGTTCATATGCAGGCAGGAGCTAAAATTTGGGTGCTCGGCTTTGGTCTCAGTCTCCCTAACTTACACTTCTTCATGGGACCAATCTTAGTTTCTAAGACTCAAAATTTAGAGAACTCCATCTTCTCCTAAAAACCACCTAGGCCCTGATGTTCGAGATCTCTGTGGCCGCAGCCTGCCATCACTTGAGCCTCTGTTCTGGAAGCTGGGCCGGCTTCAGCAGCACCAGCAGCCACGTAGGGTTGGCAATGGGCTCCCCCAGCCACCAGCAGATCCTGGGGCTACACACCCCTTGCTGATCCCTGGAAAAACTGCAAGCTGTGTATATCCGGTGGTCAGGTTCCCTAGGCCTACGGTGCGTGGCTTTAGATGGACTTCTGCAGGCATGCCATGGATATGAGGGCTAACGTCCCTCTGCTCTCTCATACGTGCCGCTGAGATGGTACACACACACACCGTGCCAGCTGAACAAACAGCTCCAGGCTGGCCAGCAGCCTGAAGGCTTGGACGTTGGCTGGTGATGCGTGAGACAGCCAAGCATGAGGGTTTGCTTGTTCATGTGTTGCACACATTTTATTCAACATATTATTTTTTCTCTTCAATCAGCTGTGTTTTTCTGAGAAGCTGAGCCAAACCTGGACTAATTTCCTTGTGCTTCATACTCAGATCCAAAGGTAGCAACCACCTACAACTCATCTTTGGAGGAAAGAAATCTCTTCTGATTCCTTTGTGGCCAACTCCCACGGTATTTTTGCCTTCCTCATCTACTGCTGGTGTGGCACTGGGAAGTGAGTGTGTGGTGTGTCGAGGGACCATGGGCAGATGAGAAACAAAGTAAGTAGGTGAGAAGGGGGGACAATTCCAGCACATCCCTTTTCCTGAGACCTAGAGCAGTACAAACCCCACTGGACTGTGATGTGCACTGCTGGAGAAGACAAACGGTCTGTGCTGGGGATTTTCCAATGACAGGATAGCTACTCATTGCGTTTCTATGTTGCCCCTGCTGTGGATGATTTGCTGGCTAAAACAGTTAATACAAAAATCACATGTTCTGCATTTTTTGCAGTATTTCCTGAACTTCGGTTTGAAATGATAAATGGGGAAGAGGGAAAGGCAAGGTTGGCAGAGGTCACTACCAGAGCCCTGCCTCATGGTTTTCCGGCCCTGCAACGCATGCTGAAGGTTAGATGGTCCAAGAGAGCCCACAACCTGGCAGAGCCACCAGTAAGGGGAGAGCAGAGACCAGTGAGGACGTACCAGGCTGGCCACCTGCACAGCTGCAGGTCATCGCATGCACTGCTGTAACACAAAGAGATCACACGCAGCTTGTGTGAATGGGTGTGCGTGTGTGCGTGCGTGCGTGTGTGTGTCTGACAGGGATCCCCCAAGGTGCTGCCTTCCATCTAATGTCTGGCACGGGAGACACAAAAAATGATTGTGAAAAAATGATGTGTGAAAACACAAAAACACCCAAACGTGCTGAGCACTGCTACAAAGCCTCCCGATTGCTACCGCTGTATGAAGTGTTCGCACAGGCCAGACGCTGTGCGCGGCTCCTGACTGACACACAGTCTCTGCACTTACTCTCTTCCCAGCACACCGATTAAACCCCCCCCCCCGCTTCTGCCCAGGCCTCAGCAGCTTATTAAACAAGCTGACTTTGTGCTGCAAACAAATTACAGCATCAGATCATCAGATAAAATGCATATTACTGACAAGCATGTTAATAAATCTGATAAGCCAAACTACCCCAGCTGACAATGTAGCCTATCTCCTACTTTGAAGGCAGATTTTACATCAGAGGGGAAATTCTCTTTTTTTTTTTTTTTTCTGGAACTGTTTTTATTACAAACTAGCAGGTCAGTAGCTCCATGCGTACAAGCCAACCGCACACCATATTCATTAGGTCAGGATAACCTGTCTTTGCCCCAAAGCGAGGTACTAATCTGCATCTTCTATCTCTGTCCCTTTTTTGACACATTTCAGCCTGGAGAAAGCCTTTTTTGGGTTTCTGCACTGCTCACAACCACATCAAGCCAAAGCTGCTCAGACAATTTACTGTTAGGGCAGCCGGCCCTGCCTCTGCCTCCTACCTCTGAGGATTTTTGTGAGGCTCAGCCCTGTTCTTGGGACCTCTGCCCAGCTCTGCCCAGGCATTCACACAGGTTATCTCCCAGGAGGATTTCCTTGGGAAAAATCAATCCGTGGCCCTGCTTTAATTCTGCCTCAGCTATAAGCAGGTCGCGTGATGAGAAGGAGCGGAGGGGGCTGGGATAATTGAGTGACCTTGACATACAACTCTCAGCACGATTTCTTCTGAGGCGAGCGAAAATCCCTCAGAGCTTTGTTTTTTTGAGATCTAAATCTCGACGAAGCAGAAACCTCTGAAATTCATGCCCCAGAGCCACTGTCAGCTTGATAATGATCCTGTTTCCGGAAATGCTACAAAGCTGCTGCTACCTCTTGTACCTTAAAACCAAACCAAATACAGCACCCCAATTCTAAGACCCAAAAACCAGGGGAACTCTTGGGTTAGCAACAAGAGAACATAGTGCAGTGCCAAATTGCTCCTGAGGCTGGAAGAGGAAAGCTGCAAAAGGTAAAAACGAAGTGCTGAAGCAAGCATGTAACAGGAAACGAGTCAGCCCTAGTAGGCGATGATGAGTGCCGTGTGGGAGGGACTGCGCAATTACATTTTTTGTGCTGTGAGAACGAACACGAAATTACAAGGCTGGCAAAAAATCAGCGATCAGAAGCAGGCTCCGTAGGCTGACCCCTCCCCGGGAAGCGGGGGACAAGGGGCAGAACTGCGGATGTAAACACCCCCCTCGCCCTCTGCCTGCACGCCCCCCTTCCCCTCGCCCTTCCTCTTGACCCGGCCGTGCTCCTTCTCGCAGAGCAGATGGCATCTCTGTAGGATCACATCAGCGATCCCCTCTGGGACCCGGGGGGGGGCTGACTGTTGAGAAGCATAAGTCCTTCCTCCTGCACGCTCCACGGCTGGCCCGGGGAATGGCAGGTGAAGAGCAAGAACAAAGCCCTGGACATCACAGGCCACAGTATGGTCAGTCATGAACAAGAGAGATCTGATTAGCTGATGAGCTGACAGCCAAGTCTCTACCAAAGGACTGCAGAGAGCCTGGAAGGTGGAAAAAATCCCTGCTCATTTCTAGGAAATCAAAATAAGAAGCATCGCTTGTTTTTCAGCAGGTCAGGAAGGAGATATTTCTAAGTGCTAAGGAGGCAAAAATGATCTGAGAGTTTACAAACACATACTAGAGCTCCCAAAATAGCTCTGACTTGTCTGGAAGGCATCAGAAAGATCCTTATTTTTTCATGTGTGCTTGGAGCAGCACTGCTGCAAGTGCTGCCAGTGTATGCAGTAGAAACATGGCCTGGAAAATAACTCTGCTCTTTTTTTTTTTTTATTAAGGCAATTTTAAATTTGTATCAGCTGCTTCTGCTTAGAATAGTAACAACTCTTACCCAGCAACTCTGTGGAGCACTCGGCACTCTCCACAAAAATGCCATGTGCTTGGCCAAAACTCCGCGTAGCTGCGAACCAGATCAGTGTAAAGGTAGCAGAACTGCACGGGAAATCCTGTGTTGGAGCTGATGGGAAGTTTCTCTCTGTCCTGTAGGATACCAGGAGTTCTCAGTCTCACCTTACAGGACTGACACAACCATCATCACCGATGAAAGGAAACAAGACTGAGTGCCTGACACTGTGTGCGTGGGGAAGATGTTGCAACAGCAACAGCCAAAAGGAGCAAGCCCCAATGGTGCAGGCTGCAACACAGTCCACCAGTGTAGCCTTTAAAATGGGCGTCACTTTAACAGGCATGTTTTTCCCCGTTGATTACTCACTTCCTCTAAAAGCAAGAGAAGCCAAATGCTCATTACAAGCCAAGAACTTTTTTTGTATTATTTAATGGCAGTGTATAGCTGCTAGTCACACACTTTAAATCACTAGTGGCATGACCATCTCTTTCCTTCCTGACGATTGCTGAGAAAAGGCAGTGCAGACAACGAACTGCTTTTTATTTACCTCTCATAAATCAGGAGCAGTCAGACCTCCTTTGTTCAAACCAAAAAGAAAATAAGCTGGTCAGTAAAACGTTACCACCAGGCTGAGTAATACCCATACAGGTTCAGGAATGCTGCACTCTAGCCCGCTGGGGCTCAAAGCATCCCCATCTGTTTCCTTTCAAAATATTTAATTGGAGACAAAGTGACAGTGGGGGAAGGGAAAAGGAGATCATGCAAGGCTGGAGAAAACCATCTCTTCCCCACACCGACAATGAGCTCTGTACTAACACACTTAAGCCAAGAGAAGGACGACTGCTGAGGCAAGAGTGACCAGAAACTTCAGATTTTGTAAGGGAAAAACATTTCCTTTCTCCCACAGGAGCTGCCAGTCTGGAGCTCTCCCCGTCCCCCTCCCCTCTGCTGGCCAGGCTCTCCTTCTGTGTCAAAATTCCCACTGAAGCAGTAGTCAGCTAGATAAACAGAGCAGTCCCCAGATGCATCCCCTTGGAGGCTGAAGTAATAGGTCATGGGAAACAAGCAGAGGCAACCATTTCCTTCTGATACTGTGGTCTCCACCAAGCAATGCTCAAACTGAAGTTTAACTAAACAAACCAGGACTGAATCCCACTTAAAGAAAAACTCCAGTGGCACATTAGAAACCATGCTTCTCCCTCAATAAATTGAAGGTCCTAGGCTCATTCTGGCTGCCCAAGTGGCTTGGAAGTCAGGTTACTTGCAATGAAATGTAAATGGAGAGGGTGCTGCTTAGTCAAAAATGCGCCCCTTCCTAGAAGAAGCTACTGCTTAAGAAAGGGCCAAAAAAACATGCGTGAAAGTAGGAAAACCTTTCTACAGGATGCGTGTGATTACAGCTCTTTGTGTCTCTCTGTTAAGGAATTCTGTATCTCTGAAGGACTTAAGCCTGACCCTGAGGTCAGGGGAAGGAAGTATTGTCCATTGCCCTGAAGTATAGAAAGGATGGGTGACTTCTCCATACTTGCACCATGAGATGAAGCCAAGCAAACATGATTCATATCTCCAGATCATCAGTGATGCAGGTTAAAAGCCAAACTACTTCTCCCTTCCCAGCTGCTTTTCCCACAATACAAGTGATTTCTGCTGTGGAGGAAGGGCAGGAGATGATACCCATGGCTACGCTCCCTCTCCCTGCCAGTCATGGTGTTACGCTTTTCTCAGCTCAAATTTTTCCCACCCAAAGTCCAATGACTTTTATTGTCTTAAAAAAATATAAGCTTCTCCTCAATATCGGTCAGTCAGGTTTTCATGGCTTTCTAACACATGAAGAGGGCAAAACTATTCTGAGAGATTTAAACCAGAAAGCAAACAGGTCATCAAAGGATTTCCTAGGGATCAGGAGCCTGAAGAGATGTGGCCAGAAGTAGGTCATATACTTGTCTATTAAACCAAATAATTAGTCATGTCAAAATATACATTGGGTGGGTTCCAAAGAGAACAAAAGACCTGGCGGTAAAACAGACAGAAATGGAGATAATATAAGACACTGTTTCAAAGCCATTTTGCAGACTGGATCTGGCTGCCTTGTTCAAGGAAAACTCTTCTCATTTTACACAGGGGAAGGGCAAGAAGGCAGCTTTCTGCCTACCACAGCCTGCAGACACTCTTGTTACTCTGGAGAGAATGACATGAGGCTATTTTTTCTAGCAAGGAGCAATTCCTACCCTCAGGCTGAAATCAATAGTGGTTAACTCTCTGCATTAGTACCACCACGGGTTCTTCAAGGCCACCCCCTCCCTGCCCCAAATAACCTGGCCTCGCTGTCCCAATGTGAAGAAGGCAACTTTTAGGGTGGATGCAGCCTGTGGTCCACATTCCTGTGACTAGGTACCGCTGACAGCAGTTCAGAGAGGTGTGAACGGCGTGAGAGCTGCTGCTCCCAGGCCAAGACAAGGCATGCTGGAAACTCTCTGGCTCCTTCTGTCAACGCTTCAAAATTACCGAAGGAGGTTAGCTCTTTCCCAAGAATTAATGGCAAAATCCATGCTGAAACATGAACTTCTGGTCAAGAGAAAAAACTCACAATGGGAAGGGGTAAATGCAGGTTATGAAGTACTTAACCGACCAGTGCTTTTTGATGATACGCAACAGGGTTTAACGGGACACTCCTTGGCTTTGGCACTGAAATGGACGGAGTGGTATTTACCGACACATATTGAGCAAGCACTACCAATGCACTGCCAACAGAAAGAGAACAGAACTGTAGCTCTGCAAACTTGGACCAACATCTGACAACTAAGCATGACTTGTAAAGAATGACTAACTACAAAAGAGCCTGTGTCATGGCTCAGTCTGAACACACACATGCTTTTTAAAAAAAGCTACAATACTCTTTGATACATTTTTATAGTCTATCAATGGTCTGCGGTGCCCAGCGCTCTGTGTGGCACTGTAAAACGGCTTTCCTGTTAAAGTAACTTTTTAAGTTCCCAAAGAACTTAATAGTTCTCAGAGAGACAGATCCATTGCATAGAGACACAATTCTTCCACCCGTTTGAAATAAAATAAGAATAGCGCAGCAGTGCTGATGGTGGTTAGTAAATACCAGAAGGCACACTACGAAAGAAATAGCTTACCCCATTCGGGCTTTCAAGGCTGGTAAGTAAAGTATACTCTTTGTTATGGCACCATGAGGATCCTGTCTTTGCTGTCCCTTCACCCGCCTGTGCTCCCACTCATCATCTTTGTTTCATTGTGGTCAGTTTTTAAAGGGAAGACAACTAACTAAGACTTCTCTTTAGGACATGCAATCAGCAGTGAAGTTCTGGGCCAGTAGGTCACATGAGTTCAGGATTTACTGAAAGCAACTCCAAAGCATATGAGAGCTTTTGAAAGCCATGTTCCACTCTTCCCCTGTCACAAGAATGACGCTCAGTGCCACGCCTGCTGCCGTATCTACCTTGTCTGGCTGTATATTCATTGTCTTCAATCAGTCTTGCCAATCCAAAGTCGGCAATCTTGCATATTAGGCCATTCCCCACCAGAATGTTCGCAGACCGCAGATCTCTGTGTATGTAATTCATTCGCTCGATGTACGCCATTCCTGCAGCCACCTGCGAGAAGCACGAAGCACAACCAGTGCATTTTAAAATGAAGTCGCACATACATGGGCTATAAAACATATATACCTAAGTGCTCAATACTCTGAAGACAGACCTGGGCTGCCATGTCCACCAAATTCGGTAACTTCAAAGCTCTTCCTTCTCCATCTTTTAAGAAATCTAGCAAACTCCCTGCAAATGCAAAGTTGACACAACAGAGAGATGTTAGGGAAACAATGGCTATTCATCAGGACGGAGGTGCAGCAATATGTGCAATATTAAAGACAGCAATGTTTCGAGTTCGAGTGGACAGTTTCAAAAACCCCAGAATATCTTAGAATTCTCCTATTATACTTGTTTCACTCTGCTTTAAGGTTGGCTTACAGAAGAATATGTCACTAGTCCAAAGAGAGCTGCAGGGAAAAGAAACAACATTGTTTTTAATTTTCCTGACCGTTACTGAGAAAACTGATCTTTCTTAACTTTTCCAGTGCTCTTTGAAACTACATACCTGCTGCTCTCTAAAGGCCTCAGCTAGCAGCAAAGCATCAGCTCGGTTCCAAGCCACACAAGCTATGGAAAAAGTCAGATCCCAGCTCAACCTGGTCCAAAAGAGAGGTCAGCCTGGAGCCTGGTAAGCCCAAAGGGGCTAGCATTAACAAAGGCTAATTTTCTTTAGAAATTAGTAGTGCTTCTTCTCTAGGTAACCCATAACTAAATGTAGCATGAACCATTAATTTTAGAAGACCACTATGCAAAACTAGAGAAGACAAAGCAGAGATCACATGAAAGCAATTTTAGCAAAAGCAATAAGGACATAGCTCCCCCGTGCAAGGGAAAGAAGGGAGGTTCCCTGTAGCTTTTTAAAAAAGCCTAGGATGCTACAGCTCCCTTCCCAATCTTGCATTCAAACAGAGAAGAGTGGCAGTCTCCTTTAAATAAGGTCAGTGAATTGGTTTAATAAATAAGGGGAAAAGACAGATGATTAGGTGTTTCTCCCTTGATAAATTGTCAGCCTCAAGCTCAGATCCAAAGATGTAAAATGTTACAGTAAAAACTAGTAAAGTAAGCCAAAATAAACCACGTACTTCAGAAGGATTTTGAGAAGTCTTTTTTTTAAAGGAGAAAAAGCACATGCTTGTCACTGAGACATATGATTAAAGTGTGAGTTAGTCAGGGCTTGGATGCCTCTGATGAGGGAGGTAGGCAGGCACCTGCCAGGAAAATAAAAATCAACTCCAAATAGACTGAAAAAATGCACTTAAAATTTCAGAGTGTATCCTCCAACGTACAATGAAACTTCCCTGTGAGAACTTATGTTTCCTATTTGGTTCATTTGCTTTTCCAAAACAAACAGATTTTTTGCTCTGCTCTCAGCACCCCTGCTGGAGACCTGATGGAGTGAAAAGTTTTCCTTTTCTCATTTTGCTACATCATTATCAGTTAAGTAGCTTAAAGAAAAAGAGAAGGGAAAAGGGGAAAGGGAAGGGGAAAGAGGAGGGAAAGAATCATATGTGCAAATCACATATTAAAATAATAAATGAGGCAGACTGAAAATTAAGCTGTGATCTGAGATCGAGGTGCATGTGACAGAACTCAGATAAAAGAAGAAAAAAAATCTTAGGTCAACAAGTGAACACTGAAAGAAGATGCCATATGAACTCTCTGATGCCAGGAAAAGCTAGGATCTTGGGAAGCAGCATGTAGTATCATTCAAACCTAGAAAATGCAAATCTCCACTTCTAAGGGAAGTTTAGGTTTTGGACCCAGTTCAGAGCTAAATTTATAATTCTTCTGAAGCCAGAGGTGAATTTAGTTTCCTGTTCCCTCTCTCCTTCCTCACACGCTGTTCATGCATCACAGTGCACCTCTCTCTCTATCACCAAGGAGCAGTCTCCTAGCCTGGAGAAGAGGAGCCTGAGGGGACACCTGATCGCTCTCTACAACTACCTGAAAGGAGGTTGTAGCCAGGTGGGTGTTGGTCTCTTCTCCCAAGTAACAAGTGATAGGACAAGAGGAAATGGCCTCAAATTGCGCCAGGGGAGGTTTAGATTAGATATTAGGAACAATTTCTTCACCGAAAGGTTTGTCAAGCATTGGACTAGGCTGCCCAGGGAAGTGGTGGAGTCACCATCCCTGGAGGTATTAAAAGATGTGTAGATGTTGTGCTTAGGGACATGGTTTAGTGGTGGGCTTGGCAGTGCTAGGTTAACGGTTGGACTTGATGATCTTAAAGATCTTTTCCAACCTACACTATTCTATGATTCTTTGATCAACAAAGAAAAAATATCGTTATCAAGGGCAGCAGCTCTGCCTTCACCTTTGCTCATGTACTCCGTGACAATATAGATAGGTTCTTCAGATACCACAGCATAAAGTTGGACCAATTTGTCATGTTTTAGCTTCTTCATGATTTGGGCTTCCTCTAAGAAGGATTCTGGAGACATAGTGCCAGGCTTCAGGGTCTTGATAGCCACTTTAGTATTTCCGTTCCACGTACCTACAAGCACAGATACTCAGATTAAACATCTTCTGCTCCTTTGTCTGCCTGATGCCCAATGTAACCAGGGAATAAAATAGCAAGGACACTTAATATAATTTTTTTTTTTAACATGAGGTTTCCCATGTTGCCTTACCATTATATTCCTCCCACACCTCCCTCACAGTTTAGTCTTTTTCTATTATACTGAAAAAATAATACTCCCATTGGCACTGGGCCACAATCACCATTGTCCTACTCAGACAATGCTTCCACTGATGTCCACGGAAACCTTCTCTGAGTAAGAGATGTGGGACTGCTGAAACCCATCTTCATGTATTCCCTTGCTAACAAGTAATTGCTACAGACAACAACACAGCTCTAGACACAGATGTGGATAACAAAACTGGTTAAACCCAGAATTTTCTATTTGCAAGACATTTTAACATTTTGGTTTTGTTCTGAGTCAGAGGAAAAAAAATATACTAAGAAAAATTCCCAAGATACAAATTCTGAATTGATTTCATTTTAGAAACACGGATGTGTTTCCAAACCCAAATGTGTCTTTTTCCTTCCCCAACTCATCCTCAGAAGCCCAGCAGCTGCTGATTGAAAACGTGGTTCCTGTCCACTTCGCTTTGTTCTTTACTTGTGGTCAGCACTGAAATGCACAAGTTGCATCATTTTTCAGCCATCATCTACCAAGCCTTCTGTAACACCTGAAAGCTTGCACAAGGACCTGGAGAGAGCTGGGGAAGGCTGACTCAGGGCATCCCTTCTTGCACGGAGAAGAAGGAGAACTGGAAAGGAAAAAAACCCCAAACATCTACTTATGTTAACGGTTTTTTTTGGGGAATGAGGGACTGGGAAAGGGAAAGGAAGGAAAATTAAAATGGGTAGAAATATCACTTTCTGAGTCCCTTCTGGTTGTCCCTTGCCCAGACTTTGCCAGAACCCTGCTCCAGAGCCAGGGCTGAAATGGCTTTGAAAGGGACCTGTGATCTGTTGCTAGGGAGCTGCTGTGTGACAAGGCAGAATAATACTAAATGGCTTCAGGATTTAATCACACTGGCTAAAAATTACTCCTCTGCACTTAAGCGTGAGGATAGCAGAAGGCCTACAAAGCACATGAAGACTCAGATTCAGATCTAGTTTCTATAAACTAAGATCTCATCAAAAAAGGTAACGTGTAAAATAAGCCCGGTTTGTCTTTGTTAAAAGCACGTTAACAGTTACCAGGGCTCAGCTGCTGCATGGGAACTAGTTAAGCCAAAATAACTTCATCATGAGCTTTTGCAACCTGCCAGAGCATAAAATGAGCTGGATTGTTTCTTGTGGATGTGGTCAGGTCCCAGGTGCCACCTGGCCTAGCCAAGGACAGGGCAGGAGCGGTGGGGCAGCCACTGCCCGTGTTGTCCCTCATGCACAGGGCAATCCCCGCAGCAACACACGATGCTGTTGGAGTGGGCCTTGGGGCACACATTAGCCAAAAGTGTGCAGTGCAAGTTTGGTTTTCATTATGCCTTGATTTTCTTCTGCCAGCTCAGCGCCAGGTGCTGTCACCTCTACCAGTAGTGGACTAATGATGTCTTGAGTTACTACCACCACTACCCCAGCATGCTTGAGGAGGACTCTTGATGTCTTAGTTTCACTCAGTCCTTCAAATCAGAGCTGAAGCAGGACTTTTGCTTCCCGCATAAACTGGGAAGGATGTGGTTTTGCCTCCTAATCTCAAGCAAGGTGGCCAAAATCTTGTCTGATGGGTGAAAAGGAGAGTGTTTTCTCTGGAGCTACCAAGGCTCCAGACCGGAGAGTGCCATCAGTCACAGCCACTTTGCAGAGGTACCGCAAATTGCATCAACCAGGAATGAAAACCTCGTTTCACAGGTGCCAGGGTTTCTGTCACTGGCATTAATAAACTAGGATTTTACCTGGTGTGTTAGCAGGATTAACTGTGTATCATCTGTTTGCACTGCCCTAATAAAAATCTCAGGACTCGTTCTATTACCATGAAGTGTTTTCAGCAGTTCTATTTTTTAAATACTTCTGCGATTTCTCCAGTTAAAAAAGGAAAATCAAACAAAAATGTTAACTTATCCTCTCAGCCCAGATTTCAGTTTAAATTGTTAAATTTTCTTGTTGTGGTTTGGTGTGTTTCTCTCTAATAGAAAATTAGCATAGACTTCCCTCTGAATTCCTCCCATATGTAGTTTGTTACTACTTAATGCATTTTTTATTAATTTTTACTGTGTTAATCTATTCCAATTTGGTAATGCTTCAGGGCTGTTAACATTATTACTATACATTAATTTAAGAAACATAATGTCATAATTGTAATAATAATTTGTGCATTTCTGACAGTCATTTGGTACTGGTGGTTGGCACTTTATTTCTCATAGCTGATTTTTTTTTTCTTTTTAAATTGCATTTGCTCATTTAACTTACTGTATATCAGTTTAAGATCTACAGCACACAAAGCTGACTAAGTAGTACCATCAACCTGAAACTCTCCCATGCACTCAAGATGCAGAACAAGAAGGTGAAACTGCAGTTATCTGGGGATGCTAACAGAAAACACAGGTAGCTTTCTTTGCAACAGATCAACCATAATTCTGTGAAATTCTAGAAATTTATATATTTCTAGTCTATAAATTCTAGAAATTTCACAGACTTGCTGCCATGCTCCTTGCTGTAGTCTTGCAATGGAAAACAGCTGCAAGAATCCAGGAGAGCTCACTGGTTATTTTGGTCGTACATACTTTTGTGGCACTGCAGCAAAAAGAGCAGCCAAACTGCTCCACCAAATTTTTCTGAAGGAACAACAAATAGTGATTCTTTGTTTGAATTGGTCATTTTAAAGAGGCTACACAGAATTCAATTTGGCACAAAAATTGAGCCCACTTCTCATTAAATGGCCACTATATTGTGTTTCAATGCTATGGCCATACTAAGATTTATGTATATTTTAAATTGCTATTGTTTTATAGAAGTTAGAAGAATGAGGCCCATGGAGCCGGGGAAGGGCGGTAAGTAAAGCTGGCAAGTGTGTAGAAAACAATGTCAGTGGATTTGGAAAATGTCAGTATTTCTGCACTTCAAAGTGTGGGTTTGGCTGGGCTGGGCAAGTCTTGCCTCTATTGTCCCTGGTCTCTATATTGAGTTACGGGGTTCTGCTGCAGATACAAATTTCAAAACAGACTTTAAGAAGTGGATGCATGGGAAAGCTAGCTTGACAATATCAGTTTGCTGATACTTGCCATTATTTTTAAACAGGGAGAGCAGACGGAAGAATTTTCAGGGTCTGATCCCATCAGTGCTAAAACATATGAGGAAAAAAAAATGTCTACTTACCAGATTAATTTCTGGTTAGCCATTCTGCCTTACAAGTTTAGCATCATTCCTATTTTAATACCTAGCAATTGTGCAGTCACCCAAATAAACCCAACGCAATTAATGAAGTTGAATGCCCCAACCTCTCATACCAGTGTGTGCAAGTGAAAGGAAGTTTCCCTATGGGTTACTGTCTTTAGGTCTGACTGGTTTAGGCGATACAGACTAACATTTCATACTATTCTGTTCTTTTAGCTTTAAGATCTCTACTTGAAATGTTTATTTCTGCCAAGAGGGCCTTAAAAGATGCATCCAAAGCAAAATATATTCTCTGCCTTACCACGCCACACTTCAGCGAAACACCCCTGACCAAGCTTCTGTTCCAGAAACAATGAATCACGTGCAACTTCCCATGCATCTTTAGCCAATCCAACAGTTTGTGGGGTATTATTCGTAGCAATCACAGTTAAGTTAAAACACAAACCATCAGCTTTCTCTATAGGAGAGGAAATTAATAAAAAAAACACACTTATAATCTGAAATTATGCATGCATTGAGAAAGATGGAAGGTGACTTTTCTGTCAGTGCTGCATTAAAGTTCATTTGCAAACACTGATTTTTTGGATACTGAAGGCAAGGACTTTTTTGTTAGCTTGCAGAAAAGGGCTCCTTGGTATAATTAATAGATTACTATGCGAACCTTGATTTATTATTAAGACAGTGGTAATTTGTCAAAATCAAAACCTTCCAAGGAAACACAGAATTTCAGTTTTCTTTTGCCATCAATTACAGTGAAAGTTGAAGATTAAAGAATTTCAAAGTCAAAGACATAATTCCAAAGACATTTTCCCTAACAGTTGGAGCTTTGCTCTTTTTTTTTCTCTTGTGGGTCACAGTGTCCTACATTTCCACCTTCCATCTTGTAATCCCCACACAGAGAGCTATTTTAGAATAATTATTTTGCTCCATACCCATCCATACTTCCCCAAACTGCCCATTTCCCAGTCTCTTGATCAACTGTAGGGATTCTCGTGGAATTTCCCAGACATCTTTGGTTTTGACAGACAGATCAGTAAGCCTTGGCATTCCTTTATGACAGGGGACTACTAAGCGGCAGCAAAGACCTGCAGCTCTCTCTGATGGAGCCAGAAGTGAAGCCAACAGCAAAGGAGAGGAAAGAAAAAAAAGTGTGACATGAAACAAAAAACAGTAAGCATAAAAACAATGCTACTCACAACAGCTGTTAGTTGCATACCACAAAGCATCCTGGAAGATTAGAAATTGAACACTGAAACATATTCATTTGAGACAGAACAGGAAATATTTGTCTCTGCTTCCACAGCCTGAAATGGAAGGTGACCGCCAAGGGTTTCTCTTGTGGACTCAGGATTTCCCTTCTCCCACAACTCTGCGTTAAGATAACTTCATGAGTAACTGCTATACTATAGTACAGTATAACTTCTTAAAAATCACCTACGAGTCACAAACTGGATTGTTTCTGCACTGAGCAAAAGAAACACTGAGAAGATTCACTTTTTTTGGAAAATCACAGCAATGAAAATTTGGTGGACTTTTTTGATAGTTTTTTCTAAGTATCCTGGGAAAAGATATTTTCTATATTCTACTCTGTGAATAGGTGTTTTTGTTGGTGTCCTGTAAAAGACTTTCTGCCATTCTTTCTAGAGCAAACCTTTATTAGCATATGCAGCCAGTCCTACATTGTTTGGGACAGATTCATTGTACTTATCTCTTGCAAAGCTTCACAGAACACTTAACTGTGACAAAAGTCACAAGATATTTTAGCACGAGTAAAACAACAATATATAAAAAGATATATACATATACACACAAATATTGTTGTAGTAGTATGTTGTAGTATACTATGCTGCATAAAGCACATAAAGCTTGCACAGCGACTTGTATCTTAAAACAGGTGCAGCAGAGCAGAACAAGGTGGGGAACTGCAATTGTATTTCAGCCTCAAGCACAATCTTTATTCTCCTGTGCAAGATTTCTTTGTGGGCAAGTGTACAGTTTCTTTCGGCATCACAAGGTGGGCAAGCACTGATGCTCCTTGCAACACCGAGCTCTACCTCCTCAGCACAAAAGTTGTGGGATGGTGGGGAGGTCCCTACAGACACCCTGACATGGACCTTGTTGTGCCTCCTGTAGCAAGACAACATAGACCACAAAACAGGGAAGATTAGCTGACCAGTTGGCATGGCTTATTCCAAGATAATTCCAATAGGAACATTAGGATAGAGACTACTCAAAATATGGATTGTATCTGGAAAGCTTCCTTATCAGTTTGGACAGCTGCAGAAAGAAACTGGAGGTTTTTAAGACCTCCTTGTTTTCCTTAATTGAAAAACAAACAAACAAAAAAAGCTTGGCATGCTGGTGCTCCAGTCAAGCCTAGACTGCACGCACAAGAGCTTATGCTTGACAGGCTGGCTGTTAGGGATTGGGTGAGTGGTGCTTCAGCTTCAGGCCTGGACTGACTTTAGTCTGATGTCAGGACACTCTGGGGATCTCAATATTTTCTATTTGTAAATCTCATCTGTGAAAGTCCGGACACTGCAGTTAACTTTGTTATCCAGGTAAGAAGGGGCTGGGATAAGAGGGAAGTCTGGGTAGTAAGGGTACTCGGCAGTGCAAGGGGAGCACAGTGCAGGGCTACCTGTGCCGTGTCTGCACAAAGGTGCATTTTGTACTTCCAGCTCCTGACCCAGGACTGCTTCCACGAGACCAAACTGCACACCTGGGTAGCCCCGTTTCCAGCTGCCTGGACAGGAGCAGTCCTCCAGCCTGGACAGCTATGGGACGAAGGCTGAAAGGTGGGCTGTAGAGCATCCCTGTCCTGCTGTGAAGGCACTGCCCTATGGTCTCAGCAGTCATTCTTCAGGAACCATGTAGAACTTTATGGAGTCATTTGGGCATCTTTGAGCTCGCCCTAGAAGTAAATCTAGGCACTCGGAAGAAATTGTGCTAAGCTACATCCCACAATCCAGAGCGCAGAGCAGGCGGTTAGAGGCAGCCTTCATGTTTTGAGTCAGCTAGGGCTGGCGTGGAACAAGGGCTCCAGTGCCCTCCTGGCTCTGGGACACCGCGGGTGAAACCTCTGGAGTGTGGTCTGTAACGTGCCCTCCCGAGCTACCCTACCCGGATCCTACTGATTATGCCTGTGTGTTACACAGAAATGGCTGTTTCCAGATCTATTTGTTTCTGCATCTGTGCATGGAAAAATACATCACCTAAATAATGTGACCACAGAAAACTAAAAGTTGACATATACCAGCTGGTATAGTGGGGTTGAAAATGATCTCCCTTAGATGTGAGTTTTTATACATTATTTAGCTTAGTTTAATGCAGAGTCACCAGAAACAACTAGAAATTCTGCCAGGCAGCATACACCCATCAGAAATTGGGCGGAGAAGACAGCCAGATGTCTAGTATGAATAGCATAAGAATACAGCAGACAGAATACAAAGAATACAGAAAAAACACCCCACAGAGAAGTTGATTTCCCAAGTAAAAATTATGAAAAGTTTTTGAGCAGCGAGCATTTGGGGCCATCTGTTAATATTATGAAAGCTAAAGTAAGGAAAAAATAAAAAGCAAAATAATTCAAAATACAAATTTTGGCTTTAAAAATGACCACGTTGAGAAGCACGGCAGTCTTCTACATAAGAACCAGTCGTCCTGTGCAGAGGTCTGGGGGACTTTAAAGTTGTATCTGTTGTACTCCTATCGCCAGTGACAGCAGGATGCACTTTTGGGTTGAATACTGCCACATTTTAATCACAGGAATTTAAAAAAAGCAAACCCAAAACAAACAGAAGAGCTTGGTGGGTGGACACAAACAGTGTGCATAAAGAATCACCCACCTTGCCATATTTATTTTTAAAATTAGACAGATTATAATTTAAATGTTAATACTTTGCACATTGAACACAGATCCAGTGGAAAAATTTGTGTCAGGTAATATATGCAAACCTTTTGGTCATTCCTTTGGGTGACTGAATATCACTATGCAATTCCCTATTTGCTTTATTAGCAATAGTGGGCTGCAAAACGGTACATATTAGCACTCGCTTATGCACAGGGAATTCATGCTTTGAGATGTGCAAGTCAAATTCAGTAATTCCATTTGCTTAGAAGAGGGAGAAGCAGGCAAAACCTTTACCTCAGTAGAGTGCTAGTGTTTTAAAGCTCTGCCACTGTACACTGTGAACAGCACTCAAAGCCATTTATAACTGTAATGGGAAAGGGATAATGGAAGATGCATTACAACAAGCAAGAGACATAGCTCAAATGACTCTTCAGGGTGTCTTACACATACATCAACTCAGCAGCAAACACTTTTGTTTTAAAATACTTCAGAGTGCCATGTATTATCTGAAAAATTACCTGAATAATGCTGAACCAGCTGCTGAAGAGTTTCAAATTGTGCCCGAGTTGTGATATAATATCCACCATTGTCAAGTTTACGAATCTTATAATGTTTGACATGATCTCCTTTCATATCATCCCAGTCTCGAATAGACAGGGAATAGGCACCTGTTCCAAGCAAAGGAGAGATAAAAAATTGTAAGTAGCTTTTAGACACAAAGATTTTGGTTTGCTGGTCAGTTGTTATAAAGCGAAAGAGAAATTACTTCCAAAAAAAGGTTTACTATACCTTGAAAAAAGAACAAATGATTCTAACACAATGAAGTAAGTATCACAGAAATCTTATGATGTTCACACCATGTCCCTTTCACACTTTTCTAGAAAGAAATCAGGACTTCTGTGTAAATGAAAACTCACATTTTAACATTTATTGCTTCGGGTTGTTAAATTGACTTTTCCTATTCTAAGTGTCAGGTTACACTGGAAATACTATACTTTAGATAAATGCCAGTGGGTGGTAAATATCAAGATTTTCATACGAAGCACTGGAGATAATGACTTTATATATGTGTAGTGTTGTTACCCAAATGGATCCCAAACTTCTTTATAAACATTACACGACCATATTAGCATACTTTGTACATCACAGTCTTTGGAAGGTGGTACTACACCAAGACCATGCACCAGGAGATTTGCAAGAACCGCACGTTCCACTTTCCAAATCCACACTAGAGCTTTAGAGCTTACTGGTGGGATTCAGATGCCCAAACCCAGGGGTTAAGTGCCATGTGAGATGCCCCAGGACATTCCGCTTGGCAGTTTTCCCACAGGCTGTCACTTTTCTCCAATCCACGTGGATGCCCTGCAGGCACTTCAAATGGCTCTGGATGCTGGTGGCCAGGTAAAGGAACCTCAGTTGAGGGGCTGGATTTAGTTTTAGGTGTAGCGGTGGCTGTCTACAGGTGGGCTATGGGCTTGATTTAGATGCCCACACAGAAGCTTCTGGTGCTAGAGCTTAGAGCAGCTGAATCCCAGCCTAGTTTCCGTGAGTGTTGTGGCACTGTAGATATCGATGGCAGGTTTGAACACTAGGTGTCTGTAGATGTGGGCAGCTGAACTGAACCCCAGCTTCCCGCTGACCGTAAAGGGAGCTTGGCCACCCATGTGGGGACCTGCACGTTCACGTGGCTTAATTTGAAGCACAGTCCTCTTCTACATACAGTGACACCTGCATGTCGGTTCTCTACAGTGTCAAAAGCAAAGCCACATTTTACAGCATAATGCAGTTTCTGAGCAAAGCATGGCCATTTCAAGGGCAGTGGAGAAGGCAAGTCTTTACTCATAGCTCAGATGAATATTCTGTTTACTCAAAGGTAATTCAGGCATTAAAAGGAAAAAAAAAAAACCTGGAGGTAACTGGCAGCTGCAGGAAGTGCAGCTTCCTTCTCAGGAAGGTCCTCCTTCTGGAGCCTGGGCTGCTTTCTCTGGTAACCATGTTAGCTAAGGGCAGGAAAGGAAAATCACCAGCAAACAATTTTGGACAATGTGAAAGGTGGAGTGATTTCCTACAGGTCGGACAGCAAACAGCACTGACTGCAGCTTATCCCAAGGTAGGTTCTCAACACACCTGGGAGGTTCACATCCTCCAGAACCACCTCCAGCTAAGTGAAATGGTTTAAAGAACCCCCCCAGTTACACAGCTGAGATTCCTGGTGTAAGATGTCTTTCCTGGATGTTTCCCCAGGAAGAAGTTTCCCCAACCACATGGACCTGCAACAGGTTGCACTGGCGGGCAGCTCACGGCCGAGGGAGCTGCAGTGAACAAAACGTCTCCATGCTGACTCCAAGGACTTCTCAAATTCCTTGTTGTTTGTCCTCTAAATAGGAGGAAAAGAGCCAGCACTTACACAGATGATTCTGGTTTATGCGAATGGGAGACATCCTAAAAGGAGTGACAGGGTTTTTATTTCTAAGTCTAGAAAAATACTGTTTGTTTAGGATATTTTTGTGAGGAGGTTCTCCCACTGAGTAAGTACATCTCTCTCAGCTAGGAGTTCAAAATTTTTTGAGGGATTGGCAAACACATCTTGTGCACGCTTTGTACCACCACTCTGGGTCGTACACTGTCAGCCTACTTTCAAATTCTTCCAGGCAGTGTTCTCCACCTCCGCATTTGTGAGTTTTGATCCACTGGCAGCAGCTGTATTTTCTTTAGTCACGCTCCCTGCCTATCTGGTCACTATTTTAGATTCTTTAGGAAAATGTAAACAATCTGTGGCTCCAGGTCTGCAGTCAGAGCTGCGTGGGTGGCCCTCTGTGGACCCCCGCTGACCTCAGATCAAGTTGCAGGACTGGAGCTTTAGTTCAAATCTGGACAAAAACAAGAACCAAACCAAGATGGATTTCATTATTCATTTATTTAGGCTGTTGGTTATTTATACTATTCATTATTATCTGATGGTAAATTCAAATATAAGAGATATACATAATAAAAATTTGGATAGAAATACCACATTACAATAAATCATACTAATGAATTTTTTAAAAAAACAAACCTAAAACCAGACAGCCTTGGAGGGTGGAGATTGAAACCAGGTGAAGGATTATATAGACAAGAGCTGATAAAGTACCTGGGTAGTCAGGCACTGAAAAAATGAAAGGCCAGCTCCACGTGATTTATTTTGGAAGTAAGTAGAGAAGGCAACCATGATCAAGGGAGGTTAAATTCATGCTGAAGTCATCCATGATGATAATTTTAACATGATCCTGATCAATTTTATTATTGTTATTATTTAAAGCAGAAGGGATGATTCTAGGTCACAAAACAATCCCTGCCTGAAGCCCAAGATGACTAGCTGGAGTCAGGCATTTTGAGAAGACTTATGGGAGAACGCACCATTTGAGCCCTCCCAGCTAACTTTTTTCTCTCTCATGAACAAGCAGCTCCCTCTGTTTTCTTCTAACAACATACTGAAACACCACAAGGATAGGAAGGGAAATAGGCATTTTTGGCAAAAAACATGCATGCTTGGTTTTTTTTGAATGGCTTTCATGCAAACTTAGCCTGAAGATGTAGAAAACCTTAAGTCCAAATGCACAGAAATTAAAGCTTGCTGCTGTAAGTCCATCCATGATGGATTACTCCATTTCCCTGATGTCTTTGTGTCTCACAAGAAGCTCTAGAAAAAAGCCCTGACTTAGCTAAGTAAACAGCCCTGCAAAACATATCCCCTATCACTGTATAAAAAATGGTCAAAACAGGCTAAACTGATAATGTGGTTTAGAGAAACAGTGTTGTGTTTGGTTTTAGAATCTATGGATGCCTATAGGAGTGAGTTTTTAATCTTGTCAGAGTGGAATGAAGTCCTGCTCCTCGCATGCATCACAACTGTTGGTGAAAACAAACAGGTGGAGGCTATTTGCAGAAAAAGAACAAGTTAGAGCCTGTCTTGCTCCTGGTGAGAATGCCTCACTGCTACATAAGGCATGGCGAGGCTGTGGGGTGACAAGATGGGAAATTAGCTGTCTGAAACAACAGTATGTCTGCTCGGATTTTGCATCAGAAACAGACTTCAGAGGTAGGGCCAGTGGAGGAAGAATCCAGTTACTACAATTTTAGATGACAAAATGCAACACCTGAAGACAGGTCAGGTAGAGAGGAGTGGGAAGTAGTGCTTCTCTTCTTTAAATCCCTTTACCAGCCATGACTGTAACTACTTTGCATGCTAACTCTAGCTGACAGTGTGCTCTGATCAAAGCACTGACAAGTCAGTGCTTTAATTATATGAACCATCATTAGACTTCAGAACTTGGAATTAATTTTAGTGACTTATGCTTCCTACAGCTATTGTTTTGGATTGCTGGTTAATTGAGAAATGGCCAGGTTTGTTTTCACTTAGTTGCAGGCTTTCTCCTCAATAGTTGTATGAGTTAGAGAGCTCTTTTCATACATGTGAAGCTTTGAAGAAGATGTTGACAGGCCTCATGAACAAAATGTAAAAGCAAAGATAGCACTCACCAAGAAAACTGTAACTCCTCCAATATTTTTAGAGAGAAGGAGGAGAATACATCCTTCCACTTGACTTCAGCCAAATGGATACAGTTGAATACTTTATGAATATATTAATCAGAAATATTTTCAAGTCTTTTCACTGTTAATCTATGAATTTAAACCTGCTACATCTTTTTGTTTTGTTTTGTTTTTCCCAGGGATCCAGCATTTCAAAGGGGAAAGTCCAAAAAATCCCCTAATCTTCTCAAAATAATAACGAGTACCTCCCTCCCACAAAAAAAAAAATCTTATCTTACAAGAAGCTTCAAATATTCCGCTTGTTCAGAAGTAAGCAGTAATTTTCATCACACTAGACTGGAGATTCCCAGCATCTGTTCACAGTAAGCTGGCTGGCTGTGCCTGGACTTGAATATGTAGCCTCCTCTAGCCCCATAGCTGACGTTCTGAGGGGCCGCTCTCCACCCAACTCCATTGCAATGGTAGTATCCTCAACACGCACGTTGAGAGAGACAGTGCAATGTTCAGAGTGTGACAACAGAGCAGAGCACCCTGCCTGTGCATGACTTGCACTGCAGATACCATGGGTTGAGCATGGCATGGGTTGCCCTTGGGTTGTTCTCTGCTTTGAACACTCACTCTAAGACCTGGGATGTCCAGATGTCTAATTCCCTAGCACATATATATGCAAGATGACACTTAGCTCTACCTTTATACCACTGAAAACAGTATTCTGCAAATTTAGCACAGTTTTTCTCATATATCTTCTCATTCATAGTCAGAATAGCTTTGGCCAGCCTACCTTTGGTAGTTTCACTTTCCCGGATCAGGAAGGTACCTCTGGGGTTTCCAAATGACAACAGCTGCCTCTCGGCATCTTTTCGGCCAAGTTTGCCAAAGTACCACCTTAGGGAAACATCAGAAATAGTAAGACAAATGCTACAAAGGACTACTAGGTAGTGTCACGGAGCTCAGACATGGAGGATTACTTGCGGAAGCTACGGCTACTCAAGTATATTCAACCATTTTTGTCATGCTGTGTCTCTTTTATTGTGGTGGGAAGCTAATGTGACGACCTGTGTAGCAGAAGTTGTATACGTTGTGCAGTAGCACTTTGCATTAAGCCTATAATCAGTAGATGCTGAGAATGCTTGTTTGGTGTCTTACGACACAGGCCAGACGTTGACAATCAGAGAGCGAGACTTGGCGGGGGGAAGGAATAGACAAGGAAAAGGGCAGAAAAATGCATCACTGCCGAAGACCAGTATTTTTACAGATGTTACTATAAACTACGTATCTTACTTACGTAGTGATGTATTTGTACTTGATATTTTTGTTGCAGCACAGCCATAAAACTTCAGCAGAAGGACCAGATGCAACAACTTTACTGTGGTTGTATAAGGCTTTCAGACTTTTGGCACCTTTTTCCTTCTTGCAGCAAATTTTTTTTTTTTTTTTTTTTTTTTTTTTTGTTTCACAATCAACCAAGTACAACCTGAAGTACAGACTACAGCAGTACTCGCTCAGTGATATAAGCTCCTCCGGTGTATCTTTTATACTCGAAATAATACAGATACACACAGCACTCCATTTTTTGCGTAGATATGTCCTCATTATGCTGCCTGTTGTGTGTGTTGTAGGCTTCCTACCTATTGGTAGGTATTTGTTGATACAACATGCCCTCTCTAATAGACAGTTCGCACACTAATTGACTCCAAATATTTTTACAAGTTGGTTCAGGAAAAGAAAGGGCACCTTTCGCTTAAAGATTTAAATTAGTCAACACTGGAATAAAGGAAGCAGACCTATGTTCCTTTAGGTTTTCTTCCTTTGTTTTGACATTGAAAAAGCACTGAGCCTGTGCTTCTTTTGTTGCTAATTACCTAATTATTTATCAGTGCAGTTAAGAACTGAAATAAAAATAATGTAAAAGTCATTTGAAAAATCGCTGCAATCAATCAAAACCAACTCTTCAAACCTCCTCAAATACAGCACTAATGGGTCTTTACAATGAAAAGAAAACATACTCCTCTGCTTGGATGGAATCGACTGGAGCCACATAATTACTGGGAATGTAACCAGTATCGCCTGTTGTCAAGGACCGGGCCTCCCACCAGTCTCCTTCCCTGCAGAAACAGAGGTGAGGAGGAGAAGTGAGAGCGAGACACAGCTGTAAAGACAATGATCTGACTTTGCTAACAGCACCTGCAACTGCACGGAGTAAGAATCCCCAGCAACTCATCTCTTTATCACCGGCGTGCTTCTGAGAGAGCTGTTTACATCTAATAGTATACATATTTCTTTACACCTATTATTATTTCAGCAGTGATTAGTAATGTAGCCTTTCAAATGAAGCATAATGGCATAAACAGGCATAACAACCCAGTGAAATCAGGATTGGTGGATTTGGCCTAGAATATTGAAAACTGTCTCCATAGCAATTATTCTAATACAGAACCTTGAGAGAGCTTATACACAAACTGTCAAACTGAATACTGTCACGTCCACTGCTAATTTAAAACTTCTATGGGGATAATTAATCTGAAACCCAAAGGCATCAAAAAGCCATCTATCAACACAGAGTTTTAGATAGCCCTTAAAGATCCCACTTCATTGTCTAGATTCCCTCTCTTGGTCACCTAAAGGAGGTATCTGAAGTAGCAAAGGACTTAGCCGTATTTTCAAATACTTAGAAAACCCCATTCTTCTATAACATTTAAATATGAAGAGGCAGGACCCTCTTATGGCAGTGTTCCACAGGCTTAGCATCAATTTTTGTCGTACACGTGTGTGTACATAGTACTGCCCTTCAGACAATGCGCGTTGCTGTAGAATGCGCAGCTTTAAGAGAAGTTCATCTCTCAGCTTTTTACAGGATGCAACGATTTGGGATTTAGCAATTTGTGTTTCACTCTCAGCACCAGATTCACTGATGTTTAACTCCTACCGCTATTAGTATGCATTCTCTTTTCTATTTCTGGACTGCTTAGAAACTCTATCTCAGTTCCCCTCTCTGTAAAACAGAGATTTGTTCACTAAATAAAACGCTATTATCAAACGTGGCCGGAGAATTCAGCCTCTTCTGTAAGCAAGCAGTTACAGAAAGCACACTGTCTAAGCTATTACTGGCAGGAAAGGTTGTGTCATCTCCACTTTCTTTAACTGTTTAAAAGAGTATGAGCTTTATGGAAAACAACTAGAAAACAGCTGTGGTTAGTCAAAAAGGAGACGTTTCCAATTCTACAGTTCAAAAAAGTGAAGAACAAGTAGCTTTTCTAGAGGCTGGCACCCGACATTATTTTAATACACCTTGTGTGTGTTAGCGTGTCAGGCAAATGGCCCTATCTGTTTATGTCCCTGATTTTATCAGCTGAAGTGCTATTCCTCCCCCCATATGTTGCTGTAGAATATTTCTGAGAGATTATGCCATGCGGTTGATAAATTGTACCACTACGTTTCTTCTCCTTACTGTACAGAGTCCACTAGATGGAGGTATTTTATCATATCTAGGGAGGAAAAAAGCGGTCCCGTAGATGATCACATCAGGAACAACCCCCTCTGCTTTGACAGAGAAGCTTAAATCTCTCAAAGTACTGCCAGAAAGGAGGAGGAATGCAGACTTTTTTCACAGCCCTTAATTTTAGACACCCAACTGAGGTAGGATGAGGCTAGTCAATGGGGCTAGCCAGGGGGTGCAGCAGCGGCAGTGGGGATGCAGGGGATGGCCGAGTGTTTCTGAGCCCCAAAGTCATGCTCTGCTCTGAACTACTTCTGCAGGTACCTCTTTTCCCCAGACTGACCTTGGTATCATTTCTGACTTCAAATCACAGGGACACCCTCTGTACACCATTTCAAGTATTGCTGTCCTGAACTTTTAATCCAAAGCACAAATCAAATTTCATTTGTTGAGAGCTAAAAAAAAAAATTCAAACCCCTCCAAAAATTCCAGACAAGGTAGTTTTGTGCACCTATATGCTTTCTGGTTGCAAGCAACACTGGCAGACTCTTAAAAAAAATGGGCTTTTTTCATATCATTTCTGATATAAGTGAAGAGAGGAAGCGTTCTCACAGAAAAGCTGCTTTCTGGAGATTCCCAGCCTGGCTGTCAGTACTCCAGGAGTGTGGTTAGGTCTGTGTCCATAAGCAGAGCTGACTATGATAGGAACTGAGCTTCTATAATCCTACAAGAAAATCAGTAGATGCTTGGGGTTTTTTCTCTTAGAAAACCTTCCTCCAGGTAGTAATTACCTGCATGAAAATGCATGTACTGCAATTGCCTACAGGTGGGGGAATCTCTGTCCCTCCAAGTATGATTGCTTTGCAGGTCCTGGTGAGCACCCCCTGATTTCATCAACTAGCATGTGTAAGAAATGTATAATGCGTGGAATTTCTTCTTGTTTCAAGTTATGGCATAGTTTGTGCAAGGTTAGGAAAGCAGCGGGCAACGTGAACAAAAATGGATGACAGGTTAAAAAAGGGGTCTTTTTCCCAAGTGCTAATTTAGAAGTAGAGAGGTTTTTAAACTGCTGCTCCCTCTACAAGTTGTAACTGAAGTTTCTGTGCTTTCATCTACATCAAAGCTCTTCAGCTTCATGGCTTCATGAAATATTCCATAGAATTACCTGATTTTTTTTTTATTTTATTTTATTTTTTTTTTAACTTTAAGGCACATCGAGCCAACTCCAACCCTGGAGTTATTCTATTAAAATTAACACCAGGGATGAATTTGCCTCACTGTCACATAGTGTAAGAAAAAAAAAAAAAAGAAAGCAATATCACAAAGCCTCTAGAAAGCGACATACTTCATTGTTAACCCATTTTTACCTCTACATGACAGCAATACTGAACATAACACAGAGCCTTCAACTTTATGTTCTTAGCCAGGAATTACAAGATGTTCAGATATAGGTCAGTAGCCCAGTAAGTTCTAGATGTTATTTTTAAATTGCTAAGGGATGTTTTTTCTATGGGCAGTTAATAAAATTAATTTTAAGTTGATGATTTCCAGGATGGAAGTGTGGTTTTCATGCCAAATGCAACTGTACAATGGTGCATTCTCACTTAACAGAATTTCCTAGCATGTTCTGACTGTATCACCTACCTTTAAAAGGAAAAAAAAAAAGCTTTTAAACTTGGCATGCAAGTCTGGGTAACATCTCTTTTGTGAATCAGTTTTTAGCTCATTTCTGTGTAGAGATACTTGCAGCAGATTGCAAAAAGTGTTAGTACATGCCTTTGCAGAACTTCTGTGACTACTGGTAAAGTACAGAGCTGGTAGTCTCAGTTCTGAATGCGAGTTTACTGTGAAATGTAAGCAGTGAATCAGACAATCTAATGCTTATTTTTGAAGTATAGTTGCATGTAGTTGAAGGTTTGGGATTTTTTCAATAATAAAGCACTTTGCAAAAGTGCACTAAATGCAAAGACAAGTAAGCAAGCATAGCATATCTTGAATATCCAACATTAGGATTTACTAATAAGATGAGCAAACGTAATTGTCAACTTTAGAAGTTTAAAAATATTAAAAAGCATATTCCTAAGCAAAAAACTTACGAGCTGTTAAGTATTTGAAATTTTTCTCCTTTGTGAAAACTCAAGTCATCTTCTGTTCTTGCTTCATAGTCATAAAGCGCCACAAAAAGAGTTACACCTAAAGAAGAAGATAGGTGAGTTACATTCCGTCACAAAAAACAGGAGGGAAAGGAGCCTCAAGAAATGAGGTGGCTCAGTCAGATGTAAGCTACTCTGGTTGCTGAGGAGCAAAATAAACTGAAGCCGCCTACTTTTTGGACAACCATTCCAATCCCTCTGCTTTTATGCAGCCAGCGGGCATGCCACCTCCTTCACTCTGTACAGTCTTGGTACTCTTGGTTTGGTACCCACACGCAGTGTAGGATCCCCAGTGGGCCAAGGGGGTTTGAAAAGAGAGTTTAGACATAGCCATGCCAAGGATTTCCAGTTAACTGCTTGAGGTGGCTCAGACCACACTTCCTGTTCCCTGGTAGAGGGATGACTTGGTCAGTCAGCCAAACTGGGCATGCACGCATAACTTCTCACCCCCAAAGTGAACTAGCACCTGCAGGTTAGCAAAGGTAGGGCTGAAGACCCAACTCCATCCCTACTTCAATTCTTTGCGCCGTTTCATGAAATAACTCTTCCCAAAAGCAGCATGCCGAGACAGTCATGCCTCTGCTGTAATGATGTGATTGGTACTCACTAAGAGCACTGAAAGAAGACTTTAAACTCACCTGTTCCTCCTCTTGTCCGCAGCGTCCCTGTATGAGAGGAGGAATTGACTCCACCAAACACAGTCAGTCCCTGGCCTCCCGTGGCATGGAAGTTGTTGTAGTTTGGAATTGAAGTCACACCAAAGCTAGGATAGTGCTGCGGAGTGGGATCTGTCCCATAGCGGTAGCCTGAGCTTTGAGTTAAACTGCCATCCCTCTCGTCAGTCAGTTTTGTTGCTTCTTTATCCTTACATTGCACACAGCCCATTATCTAAAATCCTAGGAGAGGAAGGAAAGGACAGGTGTTCATACGTTGATGCTCACCAGATCTCCCCCAAACCCACACAGGAGGAGGATCAAATTAAGTTCACTGCTCAAAAGTTAAGTACTTTGAAAAAACCCCATGGTGGCTTGAATATAAACAGCAACACTTTGGGAAAAACTCACATGAAATCTTCCTTGCAGTGGTTTTCCCATCGAGAAGGAGGTCCTGCCCGCTCTTAGGGCAGTGGCAGCTCTCTGCCCAGCCCTGCCAGGCAATGGCTTGCACAGAGGCAGCGAGAGGATGACACCCCTCTCACTCACCCTTCATCAGGAGAGCATGCCTGGCAGGTGAAGGAGTCAGCCAAAAAGCACAGCTGGAGGTGTTCAAGTCTGCCCCCCAAAACACAGAGTGAGGCACTTTTAGCTCGCGTTTCACGTTTGACCTTGCCAACTACACAAGACCTGACTTCACCTAAAGACAATCCAACCTTTTCCCGTTGCTGGGGCTCTGCGGGACAGGCAGAAGAGCAGACACAACGTGCTGATTGTTAGCACGGCACAGGAAAGCGGGAGGAAGCTCATCAGATGGTACAAATCTGAAAAGGAAGGAAAACAAAAGGAAGTGCCCTTTTGTGCAGTACCAAACAGAAGTGTAAAACCCACTGCCAGTGGATGGTGGGGCAGCCAAAGGTATACATGAGTCAAGGAACTAGAGAAAGTCACGGAGGAATTAACATGTCAAATGCAGAGCATCTCCAAGTCTGGATCCTGGACAGGAGCAAACTGAGAAGGCATGGCTTGGAAAAGGTTCCGTTAAGTTTTTTAATTGTTGTCACCGCTTGTTCAGCACCCTCATGGGGCACTATCAGGTGAATCTTTCTTAATTTTAGGTGCCTACCTCTCTCTAGGTGGAAGGAAACAGAGGGTGATTGGCCACATCTTAGAGGCAGCCCTCCAAGGTTAGTCCTGTTCCCTGGTATTGCTTTTCACCTGTCAGCTCTAACATCTTATAATCCGTGTGCTGGTGTTACCAAACTCTTTCCTATTGACTTGAGCTGAATCTAGACACAAACCCTAAGTTTCTGAAGCTGGGAGTGATGAATTGAGGGAATCAGATACTCGTCTGGATGCAGCCTGGATCTGAGCAGGTACAGTGACTCTTACACGTAACCTGGCACACAAACCACATACTCTGAACACTGGGGCTGTAAGAAGAGCAGTGACAACAGAAAAATCTTTGAAAATTAGAATTACTGGACATACTTTGTCCGGAATGCACAAATAGACAGGGAGAAAATGCATAGAATATTAAAAAAAAAAAAAACAGGTATAGTGAAGAAGTTTGGTTTTTTTTTCCCCCCATATTTCTTTTCACATTTCAGCCAATATCCTTCACTTAGGGTAAATAAAAAGCCTATTCTTTTTCAAATATCGTCATTTTTCTGTAGCTGCCAGGCTGGCTACTTTGTATGCCTTACCCCAACATCAACACAGGAAATTGGTTTTGACAAACTCCTGGGATTCAGAAAAAGCATATTCCTCTGCTGCTAATGCTTGAAAAATTATGCAGTAGCTCCCTGCTTGTTTGTGACAGTCCACAATCTGGATACCCGCTTCCTAAATCTAACCTCCCTAATTTAAAAAAAAAACAAAACCACCCTTCTATGGAAGGTTTGAAGATACTTCCAGTTATTCTACAAGCCTGTTCAGAAAAACAAGCACCATTTTAATGAATTTCCCTGAGCTGTATTGCCTGCAGTTAGCACAGGTCTACCGTCTCTTGCTCTTAGCTCAACTTAAAGGTGACTTTTTTTGCGTTTCTTTTTTACCTTCAGGATGCCACATTCACTCAGGAGAGTTCCCTCACCAAAACATTTCTCTTCACAAGAACAGAAACAAGGACTCTCGACTCTGCACTTGCTGCAATGGGTGGTAAGAGCTGAGATCCCTCAAAGAAACTACAGAGACAACAGGTGGAAGGAAAGGGGTTTGCTGCCTGGAGGCTGCAAAACACACTGCTGCTGCTACGGGCGCG